TATATGTGTATATATATATGTATGTATATGTGTATATATATATGTATATATATGTATATGTGTATATATATATGTATATATATGTATATGTGTATATATGTGTATATATATGTATATATGTATATATATATACACTTTACATGTACAGCACCCATCCCTGATCAAAATTACTAAGAAATACAAAATGCATAAAGCCCCAATCCCTGGATAACCTGCTGCTTCCTGAGTAGCTGTCTATTTGAAAACCAGGGGCTTTTATATATGTGTAATGTGACATATGACATAATGGTAACCAGTCTTTTTCTCCTCTCCACACTGCAGGCAGCGTGCTGCTGCGTGACGTCCAGGCGTTGACTCTGTACAAGGATCGACACACCACAGCGAGGCGCTCCAGTCCAGTGCCTCAGCTCCAGTGTGTTGGAGGCTCCGCGGGATGCCAGGCCTTCACCCCAGCGGTGGTCCAATGTCGGAACAAAGGCTGGGACGGAGTGGACGTACAGGTGAGGAGGGAGGGTCTGGTGGGCAGCTAGGACAGAGAGAGGAGGTGTATGGAGTATAACATTTGCTCAGAAGTTAGGCTGAAACAATTGATTAATCTAAAGATATCTTTCTTCATTAATAATGTAACCAAATTGTGAAAAATTACCATCACACTTCCCAAAGTCCAAATTTATGTTTTCATATAGCTAAATTTACCCGACCGACATTCTAAAATCTAAAGATCCTCAATTCACAGTCACAGAAGAAGATGAAAACCTAAAACAGACACTTTTAAGAACTTACAACCTGGGAATTTGAGGATTTTTTGCCAGAAAACATTTGACAAAGCCTGACCAGTTTGTGAACAAGATTCTTTGGACAGATGAAACTAAGATTAACTTGTACCAGAATGATGGGAAGAGAAAAGTGTGGAGAAGGAAAGGAACGGCTCATGATCCGAAGCATTCCACATCATCTGTTTAACATGGTGGAGGCAGTATGACATGGGCATGTATGGCTGCCAATGGAACTGGGTCACTGGTGTTCATTGGTGATGTCACAGCTGATAGAAGCAGCAGGATGAGTTCTGAGGTGTTAGGGCTAAACTATCTGCTCAGATCCACCTTAATGCTACAAAACTGATTGGACGGCGCTTCACAGTGCAGATGGATTATGACCTAAAACATACTGTCATGGGGGCGACTGTGGCTAAGTGGATAGCAGGGCCGTCTTTCAATCAGAGGGTCGGCGGTTCAATCCCCGGCTCCGGCTCTGCTAGTCGCATGTCGATGTGTCCTTGAGCAAGACACTTAACCCCAAAATTGCTCCCGTAGTCGGTGAGAGTCTGCTAAATGACTGTAACGTACTGTCAACACAACACAAGAGCTTCTCAGGGCAAAGGAATGGAATATTCTTCAATGGCCAAGTCAGTCACCTGATCTCAGCCCAAGTGAGCAGGCTTTTCACTTACTGAATATAAAACTGAAGGCAGAAAGACCCACAAGGAGGCTGCAGTAAAAGGTCTGGCAAAGCATCTCAAAGGAGCACTCACCGTTTGGTGATGTCTATGGGTGCCAGACTTCAGGCAGTCATTGACTGCAAATGATTTTCCTCCAAGTATTAAAAATAATGATTTTATTCACAATTATGTTTGTCCAATTACTTTTGAGCCTCTGAAAATGTGGGCTGTGTAAAAATGGCTGTAATTCCTAAACGGTTATTGTGATATTTTTGTTATGTCCATTGAATTAAAGCTGAAAGTCTTCACCGTAAACCACATATTAACTGATTGAGTTGAAATCCACTGGAGTCATGTAAAGAGGCAAAATTAGAAAAATTGTGTCACCGTCCAAATACTTATGGCCATGACTGTAATTTGGGGGGGGTTTCTGGTTTAGAACACTGATCTTCTTGCAGTGTAACTGGTTGACATCTACACATTCACTACTGTTTGGCTTAGAGAACAACTTAGAATTTTCTGTATATGTCCCACTATCCAAAAAGTTTGGCCACCCCTGACTGATAATCTGCCAGACTGATATATGGGCCTCAATATATGGGTATCGATGTATATGTCAGCCTGTAAGTAATGAGAAATATCGGTGCTAATATTGGCTGTTTGCTGATGGGAAGCCAGTGAAGGAAGTTGTCCTTGTTGCCGCACTAGTCATTTGTATTGGTCAGGACACCTGCAGAGTGAGTGGGGGACATTACATCAATGATGGTGCTTCTAGTTCAGACTTTCATTCCAGTTTCCCCAACGCACATAGGTGTAAATTGAGGTATACTTGCAATATAACTCATATCTGCTGTTTATAAAGTCCCTGACTTTGGAAACAAAGACAAAAACAGAAGTAAGCGTCTGTGTGTAATTGTATAAAGAACCTTCATCCTTGGTGTATTTGAATATGAGAATAAGGTATTGAAAGATGTGGTCACCCCCTCACAGTGGGAGTGTAAGACTGATATGGACAACGCCTACCGATTTGGTCGCATTGAGGTGAGCTGTGAGGGCTACAGCCACCCTACTGATGCCCTCATACTGAAGGGCTCTTGTGGGCTGGAGTACACACTGGAGCTGAGTGAAGAGGGCCGGAGGACGTCACAAGGCAGCTGGGGTTCCCAAGGTGGATCCAAGAGATTTGGAGGTAAGAGGACGGATGATGCAACATTTATGAGATTTAATCTTCACACAAGCACTAGATATTTAGAAACATGCTGTTTCTGTTTTTCTGTCTCAGGTCTTGGTGGCTTTGCCTCTAGTCTCTTCAGCGCTTTCTCTGGAAACCAGGATCAGCAGCGCCACCAGCCCAGCCAGCAGAGTCGTCAGAGCTCCCACCCATCAGGCAGCGAGGGCTCAGGAGGTCTGCTGGTGGTTGCCATGCTTCTGCTCTTGGCCTACGGCGTCTACAAGCTGTTTCTCAGCGGGAACACGGCCCAGTGGGGGCAGGACAGTGGACAGGCGGGTTACCCCAGAGATAATCACCATGGCTCCACCGCAGGACCACCGCCCCCGGGATTTAAACCGGACTTCACAGGTAGCTGATACAGATAGAGAAAAGTGAGGATAGAGTAACAATGGATGTTCTAGTTTGCACTGCAGATTCTCCCTGGAAAACGCTTCTTCAACGTAACACATTCCTCTGCAGGATTGTTATGGTGTCCTCTATCTTGGAAATAGCTGAATAAGCGCTATAATATGAATAAAGATTATAACTACCTTGCTGAAATCTTGAATCTGTTCTTGTGTTGTGTTAAGGCAATCCTGGTGCCAATCCTGGTGCCAACCCAGGCTACGGTTTCCACAGTGACTACACTCAAAGACAACAGTACCCAGGAGGCCAAGCTCCTCCTAGCACGGGCGGAGGCTTCTGGACCGGCATGGGAACAGGAGGGGTGCTGGGATATCTCTTTGGTCGTCAGAGGTCAGAGAGAGAGAGAGAGAGAGAGAGAGAGAGAGAGAGAGAGAGAGAG